GTGTGCGTGTGTGTGTGTGTACTTGTGCGCGCATGTGTGTGTGTATGTTTGTGTTGTTGTTGTGTGTGTGTGTGTTCATGTGTGTGTGTATCCATGTGCATATGTGCATGTATTTGTACGTGCGTCTGTATGTGAAAGTGTGGTCGTAACATACACACACGTATTGCATTGCTAGCTCCAGACACATCTGGGTAGCTAGCTTGGTGCAGGTCAAGGAGCCTGTAAACTCCTTGGTGCAGGTACAGACCCCGCCCATATACCAGCCACGCCCACTTTTGTGACGTCAATCCCGAGGTTCCGGCCGTGACGTAGTACGTGTCTGGTCACTGTGAGGCTGTCCTCAGCTGCCGCGGGGAACGGGTGCTCGGGGGCTCGTCTGTAGCTGTCGTCCGTGGTGGTGGTGGTGGTGGTGGTGGCGGGAGGAGGAGTTATCGTTGTTTTAGTAAGCGTTTTAAAGTACTTGCAATACCATAAGGTCATATAATGTGTGCCAAAGATTAGAGGTGTTACAAAACATTTATTTTAGTAAGTGTTTTACGGCAGTTGCAACACTATAAAGTCATATAAGTGCCGACGATTTGAGGTGTTACAAGACATTTATTTTAGTAAGTGTTTTAAGGCGGTTGCAACACAGTAAGACCATATAAGTGCCGAAAATTCAAGGTGTTACAAGAGAGTAACCAAAACAAAAAGGAAGGACGAGAAATAAGGACAATAGGTGTTTGATAGGGAAGAAGGAGTAGACTCCACTAGGGCACCCGCCAACTACCCACAGAGGAGGGGTGTTGGTGGTGGTGGTGGGAGTGGGGGTTGTAAGATGGTGGTGGTGATGGTTACGGGGTGGTGGAGAGCATGGTTTTGTGTGTGTGAGTGGGGGGGGGGGCATGGTGTGTAAGAACTCACTGTTGCAGTCGTGGTGCAGTAGATGTTATAAAAGATTTACACATCATATTCATACCGATTAGCTTCGTTGGCATCATGCTGGGTTAAGGAGCGGATGGTCCGGGTTCGAATCCCAGATAGGGTGTTCTTGAACTGGGGTCGTTTTGTGAGGTTTACAAGGCTATTGACCCTTTTAGATCGTACCTATCGGAGAAGGATGTTTCATTCATAGGCCCAACCCATTTAACTACATAAAAGTGTTGTCAGGGACGTCAAAACCAGTCTCTTACTGTTACAAATTTTCCCATATACACATCTTAATTGTAAGTGAATGTGTTTATCGCCATGTTTTTCCTGACTTATTAAATTCCCTAAGACAATTTTGGAACTTGCACCAAAACAGACATACTGCATAAACAACAAGAAGAAACAAAAGAAGTAGGACCTTCCAGTGTCCCCTCTCTCCCCCACCCCCCAACTACCCGCACAACCTTCCCAAACTGTGCTGAAAAGAACGTAAATCGAAAGCCCAGCCCCAACACGAGAGACTTACTCCACGCTCACCACCACTGCCCTCGATCCTTTGGCGATCTCATATGCCGTCAGGTCGTATGTCGCTGGGGACAGTAACAACAGTCATTATAACAACAACAGCAACAATAAAACTAACAACAGCAGCAGCAACAACAACAGTAGCATCATCATCATCATCATCATCATCATCATCATCATCATCGTCATTATCAACAACAACTATAACAGCAATAAATAACAACAGCAGCAGCAGCAGCAGCACCAGCAGCAACAACAACAACAGCAATTTCAACAATAACAACAACAACGACGACGACAGCAGTAGCACCAGTCAAAAACTTAAATAACATCAACGACAATAACAATAACAAAAGTTACAACCTCAACAACAACAACAGCAACAACAACAACAACAACAACAACAAATGTTATAGCAACAACAGGAACAAGGGCAATAGGATAACTGGTCGCTTTTAAGGACAATCAGGCTAACCCAGATTTCGGGGGATTCCAGAAATCGTGACCTACACTAAAAGTGGGCATTGCCCTACCAATAGGAGAAGTTTGGTTTCATTGGTGTGTATATATTATGTTTGGTTATAGAGAAAACTCTCCTTGTCTTTTAAAGAAACTGAACAAGGGGCAAAAAACTTCACCTTCGATTTTCTCAAAACAGCATTTTTCGGGATAGCACCCTTGTGCATAAAAGTGACCAATTACAGAAATAATGACACCAAAAGAGAATGGCAATTTACGAAGTAACAAAGAGACAAAAGAGTTCCCAGAGAGACACATTGCTCATCAGCTGGAGGTGCAACTTGCACACATAAAAAAAACCCTCACACTTTTGACCAGTCATTTTCTCAGCTGTATATATATATATATA